CTGGCCTTTTTTTTATTTAATATTAAAAAGTTTAAAAATTTTAAAAATTAATGAAAATAATAACACAAATAATAATATTGTACATATTAAAAAATAAAAATAAATATTAAAAATTTAAAATTCGAAAATTATTTTGTTTGTTTAAAATAAAATAAATAAGTATAATATTTTTGTTTGTTTAATGTTAATAATTAATTTGTTTAAAAAACTAAAAAATGTTAAAAATTAATTAAATATATTAAAAAGTTTAAATTTTAAATGTTAATAACTTATTTATAAAAATATTATAATATTATAAATAAATAATAAAAAGTTTGAAAAATAAAAAATTATTTAAAATATATAAATAAATTTGATTTAATATACAAATATAGTAATTATTGGAAATTGTATAATATTATTAAAATTGTTTACAATTGTTTATCATAATTATTAAAATAAATAAATAAATGTTAAAAATACTTGTTTATTAATTATTGGTTTAATTTGTTGATTTAGAGTGATGGATCTGAGCGACTTGAGGAGTTTGGTCAGCTTGAGGGTTCTGGACCCCGACATACGCAGAGTCAGTTTGTAGATGCCGACGCTCGTCGGGTGAGGGAGGCGAGGATCCGTGAGGCTCAGCTAGCTCAGGCTGAGATGACTAGGAAATTGGCACCTATCATTCCTTCGGTACCGAGTGGTCAGCAGAGCGGTGGGAAGCCCAGCTCATCGATGGCTGGCAGTTTGGGGAGTATGTTCAGGATACGTATTTGTCGATCATCGGCTTACACACCGATCGTCGAGAGTCCGGTCCACGATTATGACCAGGACGATGATGAGGGCAAGGAGCCTGACTCTGGAGATAAGCAAACCACGTCACTTCCTCCTCCCCCTGTACGACCTGTACGACTTGTTCCTCCACGACAGGATGTGGGCCGTCTTGCAGGCACTGGATCCTCCTCTGGTAAATACTCTACGTACTTTAATTTTGTTATTATTAGTTACATATACTTTTATTTAGTAATAGGATATCATTGATACAGTCAGTCACAATATGCAATGTATATATCCATACATATTTGTTGTATTGTAAATGCAGGTTCGAGTAGCAAACGGTCTACGGGTGATGGCTCTTGGATCGTTAAAGCCAGTACCCGGTGGCCCCAGTGACGGGAGCATTATCACTAACTTTCTAGGGCACGTGGCCTCCCGTATGATGTTGCCTGTGCCAGAGCGGCGTGTTAGAGGCATATTGAAATACCAAAACAGGCATGCAGCGCACGCCACTTTGAAGGAGTGGCTCGCCGAGATGGGTCTTGACCTACGTGCTTTGATAGATCAGTCGGGACTGTCACATCTGGCGGACTCCATGTATGCGCACCTGGACACTCCACTACTTTCTGCATTCGTGGAGCGCTGACAGCCCGATACTAAATCGTTCCACCTGCCTTTTGGTGAAATGAGTATAATGCTGCACGATATCCATGCCATTTTAGGGGTTCCCGTGGAGGGACGTATAGTGGCAGGGGACTAGAACACTGGGACACTCCGTGCGTACTGCATGGAGATGCTGGGGGTGGACCAGAGAGAGCTGATGGAAAACTATTGGGATCACGGCGTGGTGACCACTGTCGCCGTTTCGGGCGCATTCAGGGGGCTCGACGACCCTCGGCCGGCTGACCAGGAGACAGCCTCATGGTTGTGGATGGCGATGGGTACCACCTTGTTTGCAGACAAGAGTGGTAACAAGATTAGTCCGAAGGTCATGCACGAGATGAGCGAGGACACGACTCGAGTTCTGACTTTCCCCTGGGACTGGGCTACACTGGCATACCTATACAGACAGTTAGGTTTTGCTAGCAGGGGGGACTCCATGGGACTGACTGGCTGCTTGGCTCTCCTGCAGTCCTGAATTTTTTAGTACTTCCTGCCCTTTTGACCCCACTCAGAGCCTCCGCCGGTAGATGGCGCTGCCGCACGTTCTACCTCGTGGAGCACGCTGGTGACTCAAAGGTCCGTAGAGCGCCTTCAGGGTTATCGTGTCGCCCTTGACCAGATCAGAGTGGACCAGGTACGTGAATGTTATAAGTGTTATTTATATTTTGTTAAATATTATTTTTAAAATATATGAATGTTATAATAAATGTTTTTGTGCAATTTTGAACAGGTGAACTGGCTGTCGTACGACCGCAACCCCGCCGATATCGAGGCTAGGACCCTTTATGTCGGGTGCATTAGGTACCGCGACATCGTGGAGCCCTACAATCCTCTGCGGTTGTTGCGTTAGCTGGGCCACGTCCAGCGTATCCCTCCCGGCATCCGTCGGTCATCCACTGTAGACGGGCTTGGGAGTATAGGTTCTACAAGGTTGAGCACTCTGCAGAAGCTGTAGAGGATTCCTGGAACGAGTTCCCGCAGCTATCGGCTGTCAACCTGGCTGCCTACACCCCCACCACAGTTACACCAGGTGAAGTCGAGCCGGCGTACTCCAAGTGGTTCGCTCGGGTTTCTCGTCCGAAGCTGTTGGGTGGCGATCCGATGGATCCTCCCCCAGTCCCTTCGCGCGTTGATGCCTGTTATGTAAGTCGTTTACTTAACTTTTGTTCTCAATGTGTGCTTTCATTATAATATTTATTTATTGTAACTCTTCACTTTGTGGATAGTGGCTCAAACGTAACGAGCCGCTAAATTTTTGGCGCTGGGCTAGGGCGCATGGGTCAAGGCCTGGGCGTGGGGCTGGTGCGGGTCGCGGGCACGGTCGCGGCTCGCGACTTGGAGCTCAAGAAGAGATTAACTTCAGCACCGGTGTTGACTATTCCCGATCCTTCTTGGAGTTTCACCGTTTTCAGCGATGCTTCGAGACAGGGTTTGAGATGTGTACTTATGCAGGATGGTCAGGTCATTGCGTATGCTTCACGCCAGCTCAAGACGCACGAACAGAATTATCCAATGCACGACTTGGAGTTAGCTGCAGTTGTTCATGCTCTTAACATATGGCGACAT